TTAATGTAGAATAAGAGCTTAAGACAATACAAAACTTACCCGGCAAGTGACAGGTCAAAAATATCTTTTGAGGCTTCAAACTTTCTTGCCCTTGTCAACCATTCTTCCCTCTCCTCTCCCCTTTGAATCATAATCTAACTCACATATTTAGAGTCAAAGTTATGTGCCATACGTTGTGGCAGATGAAGTATATGCTGCAACGTGTGGCACAATAAAGAAAATTTCATTGTGCTTGCATGCTTCACTCTGGACTGCCATTCTTTCACTCGATCTTATCAATTCAATAACTCTAGAAGTCAAAACCTCATCTTGCCATCCAAAAATTTGATTATCTAATTAATCCACTAAATTATTATTTTTTCCTTTAATTAGCAATTAGTTTCCTAGATTCAAAATTTCAGGATGTTACAAGATTCAAGGAAGAATAATCATCATGAAAGACTAGAAACTTTGAAGTTGTCCAAAAAAGAAGAAGCCATATCTTGAGTTTTTTTTTTAATTTTTTCTTTTGATTTCAATTTCTATATATTTTAATTCATGTATCTTGATTGAATTCTAGAATTTAGAATTCTCTCTTGAGGTCGAGACACATTTAGAAGAGTAGGAGATGTGTTTTTTATTCTTGAACTAGTTGTGCACTCTAAGTATTTGTATTTATGACTGAATGTTTTGATAAATGAATAAATGATTCCTTTTCAATCTATTATTGAATTCCATGTCATTAGCTACTGGTTAGGTCTTAAGCTTTAGTTAATATCATAATCTTGATTAGTTTAAAGTCTTGAACATGATCAAGGTAAGAGCTAGGGCTAGTCCTAAGAATTGAATCACATATTAGTGTACCCATTAGGTATATTTGTGCTAGGGTTCTATCATTATCACCTAGTCTTGATAATCATTAAGACACATTCATACAACAATTGAAGAAGGAAATTGAGTCAAAATAAGATAAGGAAGAACAAGGATAGAAGTGGTAGATTTTAATCTTAGGAAGCTACTTTGATACTTGGTTGAACACTTAGACTTCTCCTTTGCTCATTTTCCCTCAAAACTGAAATAAAAACATTTAATTTCTCTCTTAAACTCTCAACTACAATTCTGGAATTTCAATTTGTCATCGATCATTGGCTTGAATTGGTTGCAGAAGCTTGCTTCTTGAGAAGAATGACCTAGGATACTCATACTACTACACCTTAGTTTTTTTTTAAAAAAAGTTTGATATAACTTAAGGCTTTTCAAGTAGCGTCGTTTCTAGGGAGCAACATAGCCAATCATTACATTCCATTAATCATCATTTTAATTTGCTTTTCTTAAATCGAACTTTAATGTGCTTGTAATACAATCAACCTTTGCATGCCATTTAGTACACTTGTGATTTCTCACATTCACTTGGCACTCTAAGGAAATTGTATTAAAGGACCTTGGCAACTCACACGCTCATTTGACCAAATTCACACTTTTGATGATACACTCCTCTAGCATGCTCAGCACACCCCTAAAGGGCACAATACTTCAACCCATTGCCTGAAAATCGAGCCACCAATACCTATAGTAAAAGAGTTTTCAATAAGAAACTCATAGTGAAAAGGGAATTTGTGAAACCTTCAAAAAATTATAAATTGATTTAAATTAATATGTATATGGATAATTTTTCAAAATAAAAATTTTTTCATTATATTATATGCATAGGATAATAAATTTTAACATATTTATGTGAAAATAACACTTTTTGAAATAAAAAATTATTTTTATCATTTTAATATGCACATGATACAAATTTTAAAATAATTTTTGCAGAAATAAAATAATTTTTTGTTTACATTTGAGTATAAATGATGATAAAAAATTATAAAATCAAACAAATTGTTTTTTTTATTTTGTAAGCACTATTATAGTTATAGATGTTTTGATTATCAGAGTTATTCAATTTTGAGGATAAAAAATATAGTTATATATACTTTCATTATTATGATTATTTTTTATTGCTCACAAATATCCTCCTATTGGAAGCAATTGTAACATCCCATAAATTTAATCTGGTATGTATAAGTTAATTGAGGTTAAATTAGTGAATTAATTAACTTAATTGTGTTTTTGAATCTCTAATGGGCTTATTGGAATATTCAATAGCCTTAGGATGGGTGTTGGACCAACCGAGCCCAAATTGGGGCCTAAATTACAAGTAGGCTCACTATACCTTAAGATGAATCAAGCAGATCACACTAGATAGAAATATGGAAGAAACAGTTGAGAATGAGAAGCATGCTTCTTGATCTACTAGGGCTCATGATTTTCGGCCATTAGAGGTGTTTTTAAGCTAGAAATAAGAAATGTGAGCTTCCTAATCGCCTTCTTTCTCCCTACACAATTTTTCTATGGTTTTGGGTTTTAGGAGATGATGAATCCATCTCTGTTTGCTTTAAAACTGAACCCATTGGATTTATTTAAACCATTGGAAGTTGATTTAGGTTTTTGTATTTGAGGTTGATGATTTTGTGATGTTTTAGGTTTGAACAAACCCTTCCTTCAAATTTGATGATTTAAAGTAGTGTGGACTAAGAAATGGTATTATTTACCTTAATGGAGGAACAATGAAGCTAATGAGAAGTTGTTAAGACTTTGATTATGCCAACTATAGAAGTTAGGAATTTTGGATGGCTAATTAGAGCTAAAAAGTGTGTATGTTAGATTTGGAAATACACAAATAGTGTTTAATTATGTAAATTATTGTTACTCAAATACTCTTTAAGCAAGTGAAAGCTAGAGGAGTGTGTAAATCTCACGAGTAACAAAAAAAGGTGAGATAACTAGATAATCTAATCCTTTTATTTGCTTTTTTGGATTGTTCATAAGTTTTAGAAAAATTGAATATGCTGTGTTGGTATATATTTATATATAGAAAAGTATATTTTTGTTTTAGAAAAGTTATGTGAAGTGGGAATGGTTTTAGAACAGCTTGTATATACTGTCTAGCAAAATGGTTTCAAAATCATTGTTATGAGTTTATCAATAAATTGGTTATCATATGAAAGCCTTGTGATGATTATAAAGAAATTGATAACATGCATAATGACTTGCATTGTATTATTTGGGATCACCATTTTGTGAGAAAGTAGGAACTCACCTTAGGAGGTTAATTTAAATTCATATGGTATTCACTGACACCATAGGAGGCCCCATTGATAAGTTTCTATTATACTTGTTTGGAAGTCCCATTCTCACTCATAATGGGATTGGTGGGCATATGACATCCTAAGTATTCATTCACAAAAGTGAGTACAAACCACAATTTGCTTTATATGGTGAGTTTGGGCCAATCTAGTCATGTCGGCTTGATCCTATTTGTATGGTCCATAGATTTAGTTAGTAGTATTCCAAAGTTTATATGAATGGCATTAGATGATCATACATAGATAAATTGTGATTGAGCGTATTTGTATAAATTGTGATCAACTGCTTGTTTTCTATCCCGCTTTGCTTGCTCATTAACTATTTGATTTGCTTGCAAATAGATTTACGGTCCATTTGGATTTACAATATTTACTGTTTTTAAAGCATATTCTCACATGTAGAAAGTCAAATATTGTTTGGATATTTTAAAACTATTTAAAATGACTTTCCAAAAGCACATTCAAAAGCAGTGAAAATGTCGATTTGCCAATGTAACTCGCTAAAACTTTCCAAAAGCACATTCATAAGTTCAATACTTACGTTTTTCTTTTAACATTTCCTTCTGTCAAATTGTTCTGAGACATGTCAGAAAAGTAACCCATTTCATGTGATGTGATAATTTGTTATGTTCAATTATACAACACTACGAGCAACAATTATTTCGGACTAGCTGGGTTTTTTAGTAGTTTCCTTTCATTGTGCTTCCACTCCAACAATTAGATGCTTGAAGACTTTTATGCCAACTGTTTCATGCTTCCACTTTACTTTTATATCAAATTATTTTTGTATTTTTCTTTATTTTTTTCTCCTATTTTAGTGATTTTTTTTTGTACTTTTATCGTTTATTTCTTTTTACATTAGTCAAGTGATAAATTTTCATTAAAATTAATTAAATAAGTTATTAATAATTACTAAGTTATATATGTATGTTACTCATTTATAATTTATACCTTACATCTAAAGGAATATGTTAATTAATACTCCCTCTATCCAAATTTACAAAACATTCTTTGTAGCAAAATTACACATATAAACAAAGTTCATTAAATACAATGTATAATCTTATTTTTTTTTATAAGACATTTTAATCTAATGTGAGGCATTTGTATAATAAAAATTTTAAATAATAAAAATTAATGTCTTTGTTTATAGTTGTGCATTCAAAAACACATTTTACTATATATAATCCAAATAACTTTTAATTTATCAAACTGACTTTTAAAAAATATATTTAGACACAAATTGTATTACAATAACAACTTTTATCAAAATGACTTTTATCAAATTAACTTTTGATAAACTAACTTTTGACCAACGAAAAACCAAACACACTTATCATTTGATATGATACATTACACTCACCCTCATGATTATAATTTTACAAGTGAAGACTCCTCGAAAAGCAAAAGAAAAGGCAAACCAAGCAAGAAGACACACTACTACCTTCGTAATGTCTTTATTTTGTTTCATGCATATTTATCAATTTACATCATATTATTTCCATTTCTATTAATTTTATTTCTTGTTTGGCTAAAAAGTATAAGCGATGAAAAATTTTAATAAGTTTGATTCGAAAATAAAAAAAGTCCATTTACTATAAACCTGAAATCCTTACACCATTAGTGCTTGCTGGTGTCAGGCGAGGATTTCCAATTTTCAACCAAGTGAAGAATAGCTTGGCAACTGACGCGCAACTCTCCCTTCAAAAATCCGAGGTCCCATGTCATTACTGAAAATGAATGGAATGAAATAAATTTAAAAAAATAAAAATGAATCAAATTACCCATTTTCCGTGAGAAGCATGATAAAAATCATTAATATATACTATAAATGTACACCCTCCAAAAATCTCAAATTATAATTTTCAACCTTATAAACTAAATTACCCCTCCTCTTTGTGAATATACTCATCTATCTTCTTTAATCATCTTATTTTTATCTTTATTTTTTCAATCAATTACATTCCATTCTATTTTAGTAACAAATATGGCCCAAATCTTCCATTATTTCCTTCCGGCCTCTGGGTAGCCTCTTCCATTGTCGATACCTTGCCATTGCCAAATAAGTCGAGGTAGAATCACCAATTTTTGATCTTTTCCTTGGTGGTTGTCTGTTGTCTTTCTTTCATTCTTCCTTATTTTCTTCCTTTTCTAAGTCTCAGGTTCAAGCTCTCAACCAATCCTTCATTCTTTCTTTCTGTTTTCCCCCGTTTCCGAACTAGGCATGATTCCGACTCCATGAAAAATGTTCCAGTTCATTGTTCAAGCCCGGCATCCAACTCAAAAGCCGGTCCTGAATGGAACACAGTCCAAACATTTAAAAAAAAAAAAAAATGAGCCACTAAGCCGATCGGTGAACAGCAAGACCATCTGGTCCGGTCTGGCTTTTAAATTAATGCTGATGAGCACGAAATGCAGATGCAAAAACTTAGGACTAGCTATATCATCGTCTCAGTAAACATTTTTTAAAAATACCGTCACTTGAGGCCAACAATACTTAAATCAGACTCACTCATATACATCCAAGAAAACCAATTCGCAAATCCACAAAAATCCTGGGGAAGCTATCTAAAAGAAAAATAAAGAAACTTGCAAGTGTTCTGCGATTGACTCTCCTTGGTGAGAACCTGGAGGAGGATGCCAGGAGGGGTTTGAGTGAGCGACCAGAGATTTTATGTCAAGGGTAATAAGCAATTATAGCTTTTTTTTTAAAAAAAAAATTAATTACTAAAAAGGTTCTAACATCTTAAACAATCTTACTCTAAAAACCTCTTATTTACAAACCATGAATATATTTTACAAAGCCATTTCAATATCAAATAAAAACTCAAACTAGGTTGAAGCATCTTGATCTTTAAATCTAAGCTTTTTCCCCCCAATACCAAAATAGTCTTTTAACGAGTAGCCCTAATTTGACAGAATTTATTTTTTTATTTAAAATTATAAAGTATTTTTAACCAACTTTCACTGCCAACAAGAATAGCTATCATCATTAAAAAAACTCCCAAAAACCCAAAATATCTTGTATTTTTAAACATCGTACCTCTCAAAAAATGCATTACAACATTGAAGCTAAGGAGTACATTTACGAAGTTACAAGAATTAGTGGCTAGTAACAGATGAACATATTTCAGTTAAAAGACGAATTCAAAGTTTCGACTTTAAAACAACAAATCACATGGTAAAAGACCTTAAATAAATGTAGCAATTTAATAGGAAACGTTTATTATTTACTCTCAGCACCCCAAAGGAGCTTTAATAATGTTCAGACCATGTTTGGATTATCAATTCAGTAAAAGCTTATCAAGGGAAGCATAAGTGTAAGCTAGAATGATAGAAATAAAAAATCACGAGCTCATGATAAGATTGAAATTACCTTATAAATGCTTCACAAGCTTTCATAATAAATTAATCCAAACACACAAAATAAATAGACAGGCTCCGATAAAATACATCTGAAGGAAGCCGTCATTGTGAATCTTCTTAGAACAAGCTACTATACCTTCATTATTTCTAGAACAAGCAACTCACTTGATTATTCCAGGTCTATTAGCTCGTACTTTAGATTTGGCGCGGTGAATCTTCTTTGGAATATCGGTGGTTAATGCATACATCTTGACAGAAAATAATCCCTCAGGGAATCCCCTCTGATCCTGATCAAACACGAAATGAAAATAAGAAAGAGAAAAAAGGATTCTGAAATACTCCAAATTCAGTTTATCATCAATGTACAAGACACGGGATCTAAGCATTGATATATTGACTGGCATGAATAAGGAACAAGGCATCATATAAATGCTACAACACAAGATACATTGGCTCAACCGACAGGCACTGGTCCGTGGAAAGTGCTATAACCACTTAAGCACAAAGTCTTGAACTTGAACCTATGTGAATAAAGAAAACATTTTTGCGTGAGCAACCCCTAATTGAGCCCGACAATGTTCAAATCTAAATCAATTTGATAACCATATCAAAAAAGATATATTGGCCCAATTGTCATCAATATATGAAGTTATAAAAAAGTAGAATGGAAAATATTATTTTAGTGTATATTGATGTGATTGTTGATTTGTTTCATTCAATTTTTCAACTCAGTTGTTTCGAAAAATTAATCTTTTGCACAATCCGTGTACAATTTCAGTGCAATCCTTGCACTTTTGCGTGCAGTTTCTAAGCAATATTGCAATTTATGTACAGTCTTCAGGTGGGATTGACACTAGTTTGGAGTGTGTTGCGGCCAATTTGAGTGTCCAATATATATATATATATATATATCAAAGATGATAATATTGCAGTTTTAAAGTATCAGCGCTTCATGCAAGATCCAAGCAAGATGAAACAGTTTAGGCTTCCACATGAACCAACAGTAATTTACCTTTATTTTAAAAATATGCAATCCACATCTAGCAAAGAGTTCTTTAAAGTATAAATCAGATCTTGTAATGCTTCGATCGTCATTGTCAAGCACAAATCCTGAAAAGGATGAAAACAAAGATACATCCAAACAGTAAAGCCAGTCCCTACAAGATCTTAATGACACACAGCTAAACCAAGGGGAAAATTGCATACATATTGTGTGCGTGTCTGTGTTTTATTGGGGGATGATGTACAATATTTGAGTTTGAGCATGGGATAAAACTTTCAAACAATGATCAATCTACAAGATTGAAAAAACCATTCTACAGATTTTAGAGATTGAATGAGCAACAAAATAAATGTAAAGCAGCTATTTTGTTCATGAGCTATATAAATGGTGCAGCTCTCTTCCCAAATTCTATGCTTCGCATGGGACTCTCACAAGTTTTAATTATGGGGTTATCTTGACCAGGTCTAGAGAAAATGACATGTTAGTTTGTAAATGATGGAATGTAAAACTAGATTGGCCAATCGGATTCGCCACCTGGTGAACTAGCCTGTCTAGTTGACAAGGTGAAAGAAGAGGTTGATATGACCTAGATTAACCCAACTAACTCGTTCAACTCAATAGGTTAGCCAGGTTGAACAAGTTTTTTCCCCACCCTGGCCCCAAAACAACATCGTCTGGGGTTTTTAAAAAGAAAAAATTCAGCTGCATCTCAGCCTCTAAAATTGATGAAGTCTGGCTTGGCTTCTACCCCAAACAAAACACCCAAATTCAGAAGTGTTCTTCCGTTTGCTGCTGCTTGTGTCTCTGTCTCTTGGCCTCTAACATCAATGCCGTCTCTAAAATTGATCTCACCATTGTGGACTCGTGGGAGCTTGGCCATAGTAGACTCATGAGTGTGCATTACTGCAACGCTACTTGTGTGTCTGTCTCTCTGAAATCAATCTCATCTCTTGGTTGTTGTCTCTATATCTGACTTCCAAATCCTGCCATTTGCTGCTCACCCCCCAATTCAACTACATCATTGTGCTCTTCATGATTATACCAGAGTTGAGCTCCATTCCAGTTTGGTGCCTCTGTCCCGCTCACTCTCCCATATTTCACTGAATCATTGATCATTTCTGCTAGAAATCACTCTGATTTCACTCTGCATGATTGCTACTTATGCGTGACCAAGCTTTGGATCAAAATTTAGTTAATCTGGGTTGGATCTGATTTTTGCATTGCATTTGTCTCTCTTTAAGTTTCTTTCTTGTCTTTAATCTTTATGTTTTCAATTTTTTTTTTTAGGTTTGCATTGTGGGATTGCTGATTGGATTGTTTGCTCGGATTCATAGATCAATGACACTTGAAATTATTTTAGCTTGCAAAACAAAGTCTTAGTCATTGAACATGGACGTTGGAAGTAATCTCAGTAGTGATAGAAATGAGAATCACGCCCCCAAGTCTAATAATCCCCCTCCTAGTAGTAATAACTCAACATCTAGGGCCTAATCGGTTCATGGGAAAACTAATCCTACATGGGCACATGTTGTCTTAAAAAAAGAGGGCAAACAAAATGTGTATCAAGCTATTAAGGAGGAAGGATAAATAGATTGAAGCAACATCTTCCTGGTGTCACTAGTCAAGTAGTTTCTTATGTGAAAGTTCCTCATGATGCATGTCACAGGATGATAGTCTTTGCAAGTTGGGAAAAAAGGAAGCTTGTTGATGCACAAGAACACATTGGGGAACTTGAATCTAATAATGAACCTATTGCTCCTAGTCCAACTCCAATTAAGACAGTCCCAGAGAGAAGTGCCAATAAGAGGATTTGAATAAAGTTAACAATGATTTTGGTGTCGGTGCTTACTAGTTTTAAACTTTTTAATGATTGAGGGATTGTAAGGATGATAGCTTATTTTGAATGTTGTATTCTATTATTGTTAGAATTATTTTTGTATCTTGTATGAGACATTAAGTATTGGATGTGGACAAATGTTTTAAAGATTAATGTCTTCTTATTTAAATTATATTATTTTAATCATGACTGGTCTAACTTCAGTTTGACCCTCAGTTTGACCATTGAGCCTTGAATCAGCACCTCAATCGGCTCAACAACCTGTCCGGGTTTCAATACATTCTTCCAAACCCATGTTATTTTGCAGCAACGTCTTATAAGTGATCTCAAATATATTGATCCAATCCAACTATAAAAAGTGTTATTTCTGTGGCTCCACCCTCTTTACCTTGAGGACTTGCAGGAGCAGAATAATGAGAAGTTGAAAAGATTTGAAATTTTCAAGTCTGGCCACGCTGAAAATTTTTTTAGTTCATGAAGTGCATGAAATAATAATAATCAACAGAGTCAGAAAGATAAATTAGCAACAAGAGCATAATACCCTTTCTTGCAATATTCTCCTTCAGCACAAAAAAACCACCTGGTTTGAGGCCAACCTACCAATGACATTATTCACTTCCATCAGAAAATGAGCACGTAATGATACTTAGTAATAGACAAACACATTCCAATTTAAAAGGTTGGGGATTAGTTGTTTGTCTTGTTGGGATATTGATGGACTGCAACATTCTTCAATACCAAAGTTTAGAATTCAGATTTTACCCCAACAAGAAAAAAAAAAAAAAGGACTAGAATTCAGAATTAAGACTATTATTAAGTTTCTCTCCACCCTTTCTATCTTATACCATATACCCATTCTTGAATGAAAAGAGGGGGAAAATCTCTCTCCCCTTCAGCTAATATCATCCCATGCCATTGCCATATAGACTATTAATTCAAATAAAGGTTGGCGATTAGTTGTTTGTCTTAGTCTAGAATTCAGATTTTACCAAAAAAAGTCTAGAATTCAGAAGTAAGACTGCTATTAAGTTTCTCTGCACCCTTTCTATCTATACTATATAAACTCCCATTCTTGAATGAAAAGGGGGGAAGAATCTCCCTCCCCTTCAGCTAATATCATCCCATGCCATATAGACTACTAATTCAAATGAAGCATAATTTACCTTTGCCCTTTTGAAAAAAGACACAAAGTCCTCGTCTGTAAGATGACCAATGCACCACTGGATCCATATTACATCATATCTTTGAGTATCTGGTGTAAAATCCTAAAATGTAAGCAAGAAATCTCAATAAGTGAAGGCAAGTAACATAACCAAGTGATGGCATTAGAGAAGGCCTAAATGAGAAATTAAAGGCAACTAATGGCATTCAACAGCAAAAAAGGGGTGTCAACCCTCAAGATTCCCCACCAATTGAGAGTTGGCCAAAAAAACAATTTATCTCATCACTTAAAGAGACACTGTAAGAACTGATTGATACATGAGTTTTTTTTTCTTTTTTCTTCTTTTCTTTTTGGTGGGGGGGGGACACGTAGGTCATCTGCTATGCTGGGCTGCAGTCAAGGATGCATGGATACAATATTTAGGTGCCGTAACTGTATTGGACACTTATCCAATAATGTGCATCGTATGGGTGCATATGCACCATTTCATTTTCTTTTCTCTGGTGTGACTGGAAATATGCTGCAGCAATTTGGAACATGAAAAAAAAAAGCCAAATATGGAATCATTTTAGCTAGTTCTTCCCACCTTCAAATGCCCTAAAATATCCCTTCTCACTTGATTTCAAACATCCTTCTTCACTATGCTTTGCCATTCCCATTTGTGGTTTGCAAGTTTGTTTGCTGTTCTGTTGGTCATGTTCCATTCCTTTTCTGCTGTTCCTGTACTCCGTTATCACACCATTTTCAGTGCATGCATACTTTGTATGTTTTTCATCCTCTTCCATTTCCTCCTCTTTGTCCTATTCCATAGTACCATAAATATACTATAACTTGCATTTCGTTTTAGGGCATTAAAGGTGGGCAGAAACTGACCAAAACAACATCATTTTGTATCTTCAGCACTTTGACATGTTTTTATGCCATTTCAAAATGCCTCAGCATGTTTTAAAATGTTTGGTACCTTCAGCTAGGGCAAGCCAAATAGCAATGCGTAAAGGAAGTTTCAATGTGTATTCCTCACATTATCTTCAAGGATAATGAAAAACATTTCGTTTTAAGGGAAGCATCACGAGAAAATAATGAAAAACATGAGTTAGAATTTACTTCCTAATAAAGGAAAGTTACTACATCACATACAAGCGAATTAGACATCTAACAGTGTACCTGAAGAGGCACACAATGAAAGTTAACTGCTTTGTGGATATCTGAATCCGTATGATTTCCAGAAGCCAAAGTTTCTCGTGCAGCCTCTAAGAAATGAGATACTGGCTCAAGGAGGTCAACCTGAAATTTACACATAGTAAACAAGAGAAAATAAAAACAAAATTACCGATGTAAAAGATCATTATAACATCTAGGATGAATTAAAAACTAGTCGATATCAATTAAATATACAAAACAATTGCAGTGAAATATATTAGAGACAGTACAAGACAACTTAATGATAACATCTTTAAAACCTAGCACGCATCTCTCACCCGGGATTCATCGATACAAATATTACAAGATGATACAACAAATTTTGAGAAGTTCATGAAACTGATAGAATAGTGTAGTATTAATTATTAATATAATAATAAAATTATGGGAAAATTAATTTGTTCGTCCTTTAAGTTTTAACTCGATTATGACACGGTCCTGAAACTTTTGACTCACAACTCAATTCTCAATCTTTCCAACATTTTATAATTTTGTCCTTGTCATTCAAAACTCACCTCTAAGTTATCCTATGTGGCAAAAATCGTTAGTAACACTGTTAAAATTGTTGGCATTAGCTTCCAACTCACCTGCATGTGGCTTTTTCATAAAATTTAAAAGAAAAAAAAGTTAGTGCCGTAGAGGATGGACAAAGAGGAAGTTTAGGAAAGTTTTAACTTTGAAGTGATAATAGGTTTAAATGTTGAAGCATTAATTGCTTACTAATCGGTTATCTCTCTGACTGATTAGCAAAGTTTGACAAGGAAATGAACCAATAATGCCGTAACAATTAAAGAAAGGATGGGGTACAGTCTTGAACAGAGAACATAGCATAAAATAGATCGAGGGAGAAGAATAGAATGGTAGAAGAATGGATTGACAGAGAAGAAAAGAAGAAAGAAACTGGAAAGGTGAGAAGGAATCAAAACAAACTCGTGAATGGCAATCCAGTTCGACGGAGAAGGAAACCCACATCTGGAATGATGAATGAGGTCAACAGAGAAGGAAACCTAGATCCATGGAGAAGGACTGGACTAGATCTCTCACAAATCCAATAAAAGAAAAACAAAAAGATCCAGAGAAAAATAAAGCTTTCCAATGAACCATATCAATTTGCTATATATTGATCTTCCATTTATCTATTGTTTATCACCAGCAGTGGTGGTTTCTGACAGGGAAGAACAATGAAGGTAAATGATGAAAATGGAGAAGAAAGTTCACCAAAAATAGTGGAGATCCCCAGCCTATCAGCCGCTTGTCACCGATCTTATTTGTTTCCTCACCCATCTCACTCTTGGTCATTCTTATTGATCTCACTAAAATTTTGTTTCCTCACCCTTCTGCTTTTTGGGCAATTTCCACAGATGCTTTTTTTTTTTTTTTGAAGTTCTGATGTGGAGTCTGGAGTCTAACATGGAGCAAAGTTGGGGCAATTTTAATTTTGTTAAGGATCATTTGTGCCACATCAAATTACTCAAGAAAGAATATAAATCATTCATTAACGACAGGGACTAAATTTTTGAACGTTTGAAAGTCAGTCACGTGGAGTCATAGGTAAAGGATAAGTCTTAAATGAGTTAAAACTAGAAGGATTAAACTATTAATTTTCCCTAAGATTATGTATGCATTAAAAAATAATAAATTGCACCATCAATTATAAACCTCTATAGACATGATTAAAGGTGCCAAAAGCATAAACTTGTTAATGCTTTAATGTGTTTAAGAGCCATATTGATATGATTTAGTGCATTTAGAGCCTAAAGCATTTCTAGGATTTCTTTTTTCCCTGCTGTAAAACATGTTTAATTGTACTTCAGAATGAGGGAATAGCTTACATGCACAGTCCTCAAAAAGCATATCAAATGTGGACCTGTTCAACTTTATTTGATAATCTTTTCATTTGCACGGGATAATCTAAAGCTACAATGCTGTTACATCCCATTCTCTATCAAATAGAAAGCGTAGAAAGAACCTTCTGACTAAAAACCATCAGATTCCATTCTGACCAAGGACACCAAAAACCAGATGGCACACTGCCAAGAAAATAAAGCAACCCCTCTATTGGCCAAAACAAACGTACATGATAGTTTAAACAAATAAGCAAAATAAAATAAAATAAAATAAAAAATTAGCTGGCCACACCCAACCCTTACAGAAAAAACCCAAGCAAACTGGTCCAACACAGCTGGATTTTTATTAGGATTGAAGCAATAGAAAAAATTCTTGTAATGATTGATGAATTACAAAAGACACGTGGAGAGAAAGCTAGCCAGTTGAAAGATTCTATACATGTAAGGGAGGTTAAACTGACAAACCTCATTGAAGTACCTAATAAGAAGGTTTTTGGTGATCCTGCCGATGCCAGAACCACAATCTGGAAATGCAACAGATTGCTGATTAGATCTTTTAACAGATAAAAACAAACTATTTAACGCATGTCTAAATTTTCAACAAAAGCAGATATCAATTTTTTCAAAATAAAATAGGAAATGCAAGGTTAGACGCTCACTATGTTAACTGAAGCAATAAAAGAAAATACACCTAACTTAACTAAAGACAACACCTTTCTTCCACACGCACACACACACAAACACAGAAGAAGGTGTAGGGGGCATAGCCACAAACAGAACACACATACAGAGAATTTTGCCAATATTACTGAAACATATAAGAAACTTAGAACATCTCCATTCAACCAAACTAAACAGTCAATTCAAAGCTCTTAAGTATCTAAAGTTCAAATGAGTTAATCTCAACATTTTTCTTGGTTATTGCTAGTGAATGATATGATTAGCGTTATCACTAAGCCATCTCCTCATTGAATTGAAGCTAATTATGTGGACGTTAATCCAGAAATCGTTTCTCAGCTTGCAATTATAAATCTAAGTAGTTGTGCTTAAATTCACAAAAATTTACCAATAAAATCGGAATATAAAAAAAATGAAGTCCATACACAAAATTTTGTTCTGAAAACCCAAATTTATATTAGATTATTGACCAGTTTAAAAAATACATAATAATGAATATTCTAGCCCAACCAATATCATCAATCGATAAGTTGATAAGACAAATGGAATTATTCATCAGTAAGCTGATAGGAGGCAGTGTAACACAGGTAAAGAGAGGGTACCAAGAGCAACAACCGGTCGGTCTTTTACACCAGTAGGAAAACGCTCAGACAGGACCATTTTCAGGAAAGCCTCACTATCATTTATATCAGGTTCGTTCACATTTGCAAATCCTCCTAATACCCCGTCCATTGATGCCTCCACGCCCTATTCTAACAAACAAAAAATAATGCTTAGGAGAAGCTATTATTGCATTATCAAGTGAAGCCAGACAACTTGTCACTGCTAATATTCATTATATGTTGTTTCCTTCGACGATTCCTTAGCTCAGTTTCGATTAACTCAAAATTCCCCCCTTCCCCACAAAAATATGTTACTTCTTTAGATTCTGAGGCAGAGAAAGACCTACAGCAAACAATTTCAATCACAAATTCATAGAGCGAGTGAATCCAACCTTGGATACTTAGTTTGGGGGGGGGGGAGGACGTATAGATATGAGAATCGGAGAGCACGCAAGGTACCTCCCAATAGCCAACTCCATGACGATACCACTCAGTTTTCTTGTCGGGATCACCCGCTTGTTCCCGCCACATCTCATCTGCGGTCTTGAAGTCACGACCATTGGAATCTAAGCCGCCGGCGTCCATACAGGTTTCAGACCAAATTTAGAGAGAAAGGAACAGGAATCCACCAAAGCTTCGAGAGGCCTCGCGCTGCAATCGAAACCCCCGAGTCTCAGTTTCGAGACTAGTTCACTCGGAATAAAAAGTTACGGCTTCAAGATTTTAAACAGAAGCTTTTGTATGGGCCGTTTATTTAAAATTAAAAAAATAAATAATTCATAAATAATTTAAAGAACTTCTGAAAGAGATTTATTTTATAAAAATTTTATAAACAACTTAAATTATTTTATGTTTATTTATAATAATAAAAAATATTATTAATTAATTATTTTTAAATTTTATGATATATTTCGTAAGTTTTATTTTATAAAAATAATTTATTATTATATAATTTTAAAATCTTATGACATTTTTACATATCATGCCTCTTTAAAGCACTTTTTTTTTATTTATCGCATTAAATTATTTTTAAAAATTATTTAAAGTAACTTCTTACAATAATAAAAAATTTATTTTTTTAAAATTTTGATTATTTTTTAAAATTTAAATAAACATAATAAAAATTTACAAAATAATTTAAAAAAATAAGTATTTTTTTACGAAATGAACTAAAACAAATAGTGCCTATATGATATTGTTAGAATAAATTAAATAAACAATCTAATATTTATTATATTTTAGGTTGTGATTAATTTATTATATTTATTGTACATTTTTAAATTTTTAATGATAAATTAATTATATGTTAATAATAAATTATTTATATTTTAATATGAACTGGTCACACTTTCAAATTTTGGTCAAACTCTCAAATTTTCAACAATTTTAGCTCAATTTTTTTTTATGAATGGGCCAATTTATCTTTTATATATAGTAAAAAAATCCTCTCTATTTTCAAAACTAGCCCATTAAGCCGTGAGTTGCACCGCAGAAATGATCTATTGCATTTAATTACACTTTTATCAAAATGAATCAAGTAATTAATTATGTAAATGTATTGTAACTTGAAGATAACATAATAGTTAACGTGAATATTGTTTGAATATGTATTTAATATTTTATTAAGGATGATGAGATAAACTGTAACACTTGCTCTGAGTGTTATTCAAAAATCACACAATTCAAATAAACTAAGTGTGGTTAAGGAGTTAATTCTAAAACCAACTTATAAAACAAACCATTTAAATCAATAACAATTTACATAATAGAAAAACACACATATAAAACCTTTTAGAAAATTTTAACTAACTTAGGAAACAAACCATTTAAATCAACAACAATTTACATAATAGAAAAATATACATATAAAACCTCTTAGAAAATTTTAAAGGATTAATATGTAGCGCATGGAAACAAATAAGGCAAACAAGGGCAGTTAATTGATGTTATGACAGCATTAATTTTGCTGTCATGACAGCCCTCTCGGGCAAATCTTTAGGAGGTGCCGATTCACCGTCTGACCTCTGATTGAAGTAATTTTAAAGTTTACACATCACATTCAAAGGACACTATAAGTGTAGCAAATTTCAAAAAGATCTAATGGTCAGATTAAAAATTAGACATGTTAAAAGATTGGTCATCTTTGCTGTCATGACAGCTAACCTCCAGACTAACTTCTGAGATGCACCATTTCATCATCCAACCTCCGATCAAAGCGATTTCAAAGCCCACATATCACTTTTAAATAGTACTATTAGCATACCAAATTTTGGAAAGATCCATCAGACGGATTGAATTTCGTGCATGTTGTAACATTTTCGCTGTTGTTGTCATGACAGCACTTTTGCTGTCATGACAGCTCCTCTGGATCAAATTTCAGAGTGCATCGTTTCTCTGTCCGATATCCCATTGACGTGATTCCAAAGCCCACATAAAGCTTATAAAAGATTTTACTTGTGACCTAAATTTTAGAGAAATCCAACGGTCGGATTAAGATTTGGACACCCGGATGTAAAAGTACAGTTTTTTAGTAAAAACTATTTCCAAATTTGTCCAAATCTCATCCTAATGGTCACAAACTTGTGGGAATACTTTGGACACGTCAAATAGGACTAAAAACACTTGATAGAACATTTAAATTATAGAAAAACACTTTATACCAAAATTTGACCACTTAGATGCCATTTCCCAAAATGGACCCTGAACCCCCAAAATGCACAAATCTCACAAAAGTGGCCAAAAACTATTCCAAATATCATATGCACATATGAATACACATGATAAATATTTTCACTTGGCTTAGAGATCTCTGTGGGTCCCACGCACCCACTCTCTCTATTCAAAGTATATGTTTGCCCATAACACACCATTTGCAATGCAACCACTTTGCATTTGCTTATAGAATCACATATATATCAAAATAAATATTTGCTTGTAGTGAAAACTTGGTCTACTAAATAAATCCATCAAAACTACACACTATAGCCAAGTTTCCTAGCCACAAGTCTATAAGCAAACAACAATTCATACACAAGCCATACAATCCACACATACTCACGCACATATACATAATCATATCCTACTGGCACCTTAATCCTAAATACATTACATAGATTTGCTCAAAAGAAAGAGGTTGCAGTTCTTTACAATTCACAAAAAACCCCTAGATCTGCTCCTTTCCCCGTCCTCCACTGGTTCCTTCGCCTGGACCTGAAAATATTGAAAAGAAAGAGGTGAGACAACTATAGTCTCAGTAATAGAGAAATCTACATTGATTATTACAAAGCAAGCCATAATCGAATAAACGAATAATAAATTCAACATAGTATATAATTTAGCCATTTAAAATGCATGAATACATGACTTAGGCCGGTATGGCCTTTCATAACCAACAGAATGCCCCCTGACACTCTTTAACTCACAGGTAAACCTTATACCTATTTGTACCTCCATAAGCACAAAACATAATCTAAGGTATGATCTAATCCACCGAACTGCCTATGCCCCTTCGACGTGAATCCTGAGCAGTCAAAGCTAACTCCCTCTTAGAGCTAACCCGACTTACTCTCCATGTGAAGGCTACCTTGGCCAAGGCACTCAACCTCACACTTCATATGTTGGATTCCCTCCCCCACTGAAAGGTTTCAAACACTCAATACTCTAACCACTTTAGTGCACTGAGCCCTTAATACGTAAGGCAACACTGAGTACTGGCAGTGTGCCATAGAATATCAAAAGTCCACACCTTCTCATTGGTGAACTCCTATCAAGATCATGCCTTTTATTCGTGTCCACCTTTCCCGAGTATTGACCACTTCAACACTCTAAGGTAGTATAACATTTATAAATCTCCCTTAAACGGTTCCTTAGCCTATCTAAGGTACTTTACTTAATTACACTTCCTTAAGTGCAACTTCTATTCTTTATGATTACAATACATGCAAATTTCATTTCTATAAAAACATTGTTGTTAAACAATTATAAAACATATTTGCACTATAATCAAAATAGTACCCCGTAACCCCTTATAAAGCACATTTAATCTTTTAAAACATGTAATGCATGATAGCTAGTAATATTTATTCAAAAATAGCTAAAACAAATTATAAGAAATATAAATTCCCCTGTTACCTCAATCCTTTGGTACCAAAAAGGTTCCTCTTGTACAAAATAGGACTTAGCTTGTTCCTTAACTTTCAAACAAATTCCACCAACGATCCCTACAACATATATGTGATCCGCATCACTTATCATGACAAATAGCATTGATGAAGACTATAACTCATACTACACAACTTGGGTCAATGAGTAGTAATCCACCCTAATAGTCTATATATTAAACCAACCATTCACATAGTATTACCTAACCACCAAAACTATTTATTAGCCATCACTAGGCTAATTTTTAATTCATATAATTTTTAATCAATTAAAAACCTTCACTTAGTATCACCAACTTTCACCATTAGCCCTTATAATGAAAACTAAACCTTAATTTAAATCTTTTTAGGCTCAAATGGCAAAATTACAACTAAATCAATAGACTTAAATCATTGAAGAGCAAAACCCAACCTCTTGGGGTTTGATTTGTGTTCAAAACACCTCTTTTCATCTAATTATCCACTCAAAATATTAGAACACCATATAGAAACTCAAAACATCCTCCCAAGGATCCAAAGAAACAAAAGCTTACAAGAATAAAGCCTTTGGGATCAAAATTCAGAAATTCCCTCTTCCAAAAGTTAAAGAAAATCAAGAGGAAGGGAAGAGGATTGAAGTAGAAAGTTTACCTATCGTGTAGTCGAACTCATAACGGTCGCAAAGCCTCCTAAATCCAAGCCTAACTCCCTCTCTTTCTCTTCTCTTCTTCCTCTCACTCTCTCGTGCTCTTTGTTCTTTTTTTTATTTTCTATGTTTTCTTTGTCTGTTTTTCCCTTAAAAAAGCTGATAAGACTTTGGAGAAAATTACAAGAAAGGGCTCAACATTTTTTATTATAGCACAAAAGTCCGGGTCAACTTTGGTAATTTTTTTCATAGTTAAAAATAAAATAAAACCCAACTTTTGCTTTATAAAATTTAAACTCTAAACCTCTATCAAATTATTTTAAATTTTAATTTAATTATAGATATTTTATTTTTTTAAAATAAATCTGAGTCTTAAAATTTTTTAGGATGTTACATAAACACACTTAAACCATTCATCAATAGAAAATAACTAGATTCTAAGTTCTAACTCCTCTGCAATGCATGGGAGGATAAAAACATTGACAAACTCAAATAATAGTTAACAATAAATTATGGTAAAAACAATATTAAGCAAATTTTGCTTTTTATTCTAAAAACAGAGTGATCTTAATAGTATATAAATTATTTCTTCACACACTATTTACTATTTTGCATTTCTTTGACAGTAGTGAATGAAGAGTAGTTGGCAATAAAAATGAAGGATACAAAAGAATTTGATAGAAAAGAAGATAAAAAACATCAAGCATTTTCCTTCAATCAATGTAAGAACTTAGTTATCGAGTAGGTCCTAACTCCTAATCAACTTCAATACTAAAAATCAGTGCCCTCCTAAAAATATGGTATGTAAAGATGTGAGTTTTGCATTTGCAAAGAAAACAACCTGCAAACAAACTTTTTAAGAGCCAATTGATTTCCAATCTGTGAAAAAGCTTGAAACGTACAAAGAAAGAATGAAA